TCTCGGAGGCCAAGGACACACCGAGGAGGGTGGAGGCGTTTTTTATTTGAACCGAAGCAGTGAGGGTAATTATCCACGTGGTACAGTCAAGAAAAAACGTGGCAGTTTCTTCGTCTTCGCAGAATAGCAAACGCACTCATTAGTCCGGAGGCCAATTCGTAAGCCTTTACTTAAAAAAAAAACATGTATAAGTACAACAGCAGCATCAGGGGAATATTTTACCAGCTTTAGGAAAACCAACTCTTTTCCAGCCTCCAGGGACCACAGGTTTATAAACACTGCGCTCATTCTAAACTGTACTTGTCTGCTCAAAGGTGGCACCTGCAGCCTCCCCCTCCCCTTGCCTTCCACCCCCCCCCCAACCTCCAGCAGAGGCTTGAGAGCAAAATCAGACTAGTCCCAACATCCTGCTCACAGCGGGCTGAAATTCTCCTAAAGACCCCGCACTAGCAGCTCCATGCCTTGGGGGATGATGTTCTGTGTCACTGTAGTCTCACCTTTGCAGAGCCTCATAGGGGGATGTTGACTTCTCCAGTGTTGGGCTGATGCTCAGAGAGGTGGAATTAGTAACTCAAGGTTGCACAGTGAGCGAGCAGCCTGGGTTTTGAGCCTAGGCCCAGCCCGTACACTTCCCTCCCAGTCCTCCTGACTGGGCAATGATGGAGATTGGGGATTCACCTTATTTTTCTTCCTTCTGGCCTCCACTCACTGCCAAGCTTAAGTATCTGAGCCAGTTCCCTTCTCTGAGCCTGCTGGGCCCATCTGCTCCCCGCCTTTATTGGGGGGCTGCAGGCTGTCCCTTGCATGTCTCCTCCAGTCTTCATCAGCTGCCTGACGCTGTCTGCGCCCGTGTTTGGCTACCTGGGCGACCGGCACAACCGCAAGGCCGTGCTGAGCTTCGGTATCCTGTTCTGGTCAGGAGCAGGCCTCTCCAGTTCCTTCATCCCCCCCCCAGGTAGGTGCTCTCACCCCTGCCCAAGCCCCTGGGGGACCCTCCCCAAACTGCTTCCTCCCTGATCCAGCCCCTGCTGAGCCAGGCGGGGCATTCCAGGGCTGAGAGAAGCCCGTTGGACTTTCTTAACAGAGGCCTTCCTCTCTGGCACCGTGGCTTTATTTCTGCCTGGCTGTGCTGGGGCTAGAGGTGAGGGTAATCGCTCCCGTCTGCGGGAACTGGCCTGGTTAGCCAAGACGATGCCCAGGAAGAGAGCTCCTTTGGGCGGTGGGGGGCAGGTAGCAGCTGTGGGCTCCAGCAGGGGGCACCCGTGTGATTTGGGGAACCTGGACTGGGAGGATGGTGAGGTGTCTGGAGCCCTGACACCTCCTCCTCTCCTGGGGCTCGTGCTACCAGATGCCCTCTGTCCCTCTGAGAACAATCCTCCTGGTGTGATTTCTGGAACTCACTGTGGTATTGTCCCCATCTGCCCAGTACTCCTGGCTCTTCTTCCTGTCCCGGGGACTGGTGGGCATCGGCACGGCCAGCTCCTCCATCATTGCGCCCACCATCCTGTGTGACCTCTTCGTGAGGGACCAGCGGACCCAAGTGCTGACCATCTTCTATATCTTTATTGCTGTTGGAAGGTTGGTATTACTCTGGATCCACTTCCCTGGGTGGTACACTGAGGCCCAGAGGAGTCAGAACAGGGGCTGGGCTGGGTGGAGGAGACGTCAGAGCAGGAGGGCTAGGTTTGGAATCTCAACTCTACCCCTTCCTCCCTGTGTCCCTTTAGCTCTCTGAGCCTCAGTTTCCTCATCTGTAAAAATGGCGCCAGTAACATTGACCGATGGGCTATGGTGGGAGTTAGAGATACATAATGAGGATGCTCCCTACCTGCTAGTCCACCCCAGGAAGGGGTGAGATAGTGCAGCCTGGCCGTACGGCCTGCTCAGGGAGGGGCCGGCTCTGGGAGGGGAGGCAGGGAAGTGTGTTGGGGTCGGGCGTGTACCCCACAGTGGGGTGGGGCAGAATGGGATTTGCAGTCAGGACCCTGAGCTCTGACTCAGGTTTCCTGAAATCGCCTCACTGGGGCAGGGCTGAGCCTTGGGGAGGTGCATGGTCCTCATATTGGGAGACAGTGCACAGTGGTGCTGGGGCTGGGCCTGGAGCCAGAGGTCACCAGTGACTTGACCAAGGGCAGTGGCCATCTGGGTCTCACATGGCTCACTCTTCCCAGTGAAATGGCCATGAGCTGCAGAGAGCTGGCTCCCTAGGGTGGGCGCACCCTCGCTTAGGTTGGTCTTGGGGCCCCGGGCCTGCCTCCTTCCCCTCACTGCTGTTTCCCCGCCCCTCTGCTGCAGTGGTCTGGGCTATGTGCTGGGGTCGGCTGTGACGGAGCTGACCGGGAACTGGCGTTGGGCCCTCCGAGTGAGTCCAGTTTCCTTTTCTTCCCTCTGTTTTCCCACTGGGCCAGCAGGGACTTTCCAGCCTCTAGTGGCCTTAGCCCCTTGGCACAGTACCTGGCGCCGTGGGGGGTGCTCAGATGTCAGCAGCTTCAGACACTGGGGGCCTCGTATGGAACGTGGCCTCTGGAAGTCGTGCCCCTGGGATCAAATCCCAGCTGCTCAGTTGGCTAGCTGTGTGACCTCAGGCTAGTCCCCTCCCTCTTCGGGGCCTCACTTTGCCTATCTGTAGAGTGGGGGGGAGTAAAGGCTGCCTTATGGAATCTTGAGGATTTGTGAGACAGGGATGGAAGGACACTAGGGCAGGGCTGGCCTGGCAGGTGGAGGCGTGGACCGGGAAAAGGGACAGTTATTGGAGCAGCAAGTCCTCAGCAGTCAGGGCCAGGGTAGTCAGGCCTCTAGCTCTTCACCATGTCAGGCTCACTGCTCCCAATAGTAGCGTCTGTACAGGACAAACGGGTATTAAGTCAAGTACCAAGGGCACCCCACTCCCCAGAGAGGCTGTACTCAGAGTGAGGGGTTGGGAGCAGTGGTATGTTAAGCTCTGTGCATAACCAACCCCGGGGAAATGAGTCCCTCTCCCCCCTTGCCCACCCCCCGCCTCCAGGGCACAGAGCATCCCAAGAGCCTGGACCACAGAGTTCAGCCACCCAAGGGATCTCCTGGGTTGCAGGAGTGTGTGACCCTGAGCTTCCTGGACCTTCCTATCCCCAGGTCATGTCTCCCCTGGAAGTCTTGGCCTTGATCCTTCTTATCGTGCTGGTTCCAAACCCACCCCGGGGAGCTGCTGAGAAGCAGGGGGTAATGGCCGTGGGGGGCCCAAAGAGCAGCTGGTATGAAGATGTCAGATACCTGGGGAGAAAGTGAGTGTCCCTGCTTCTCCCTTCATGTCACTGAAAACCCCTATGTCTGACCTAGAATCACTGACCTCCCTCTGCCTCCAGGGAGCCCTCCCTGACTGTCCCAACATTCACAACCTTCTTCCTCCTCTGAGCTCCCATTCACCAACTGAGATGTCCCTCCCCGACTTGGAGGCCCCCTTCACCTCGCCATGTGACAGAATGTGGGCTGGGAGGGAGGGAGGGAGGAAGGCGGCGTGAGCTCCAACCTTGGCTCTGCCTCTGCCTTATCCCTGAGTGACCTGAGACTTGGAACCTCACTTCCCTCATTGATTCAATGGACATAATTCTCTAGCCTTGCCAGCTTCTCAGGGTGGCTGGGAAGATGCCGGGGTGAATCACTTACCTCTCCAAGCCTCATGGGAGTGCATCCCTCTCTATTCTAGGCATGGTTGGGGAGGCAGGCAGGAGTCACTTGCATGCCCAGGTCTCATGATTTACCAAAATGTGGGGCATGGAGAGGACCCCCACTCTCTTGGTTACAGAGCCATGAGCCGAGTGGAGGGTACTTAGAGGAAAGTGAGGCAACAGGGACATCTTGCTGGATGGACAATATTATGTTGGATTTGAGCCTTTCAGGCTGGGGAGAGTTGCTCCTGCAGAGAGGAGGGAGGAGGGCTTCTTAATGAGTGTCGGGGAGGATGTGGAGCCTGGAGCCACCCGAGTGCCAGGGTGACCGAGTACCCAGGAGAGAGGGGAGGGGAGCGAGCAGAAGCAGACAGGACCCCCCCAGCCCCAGCCCCAGCCCTCTGCCAGCTCCAGCCAGAGCACTTTCTCTTGCAGTTGGAGTTTTGTGTGTTCGAACTTTGGACTGACAGCCGTGGCCTTTGTGACTGGAGCCCTGGGCTTCTGGGCCCCCAAGTTTTTATTCGAGGCCCGTATGGTGCACGGGCTGCAGTTTCCCTGCTTTCTGGGGCCGTGCAACAGCTTGGACAGGTGAGGGGCCTCTGGCACCCAGGCTGGGTGGGGGGCTCTTGGTGGGGAAGTTCTCGGGAAGTTCTGAGCCCCCAGACTCAGTTTGTGTGGGCTTACAGAGCTCTGTGAAGACACCAGGGCTTGGGGCTCCTCTGGCAGGTGGCTGGCCTGGTTCTAGCTCGGGCTGAGCTGTGCTGCACTGAATGGCCACAGGCAGCTCCCTTGTCCTCTCTGGGCCCCAGTCCCTGTCTTCCAACTCTTGGCCTACACTGGGGATCCAGAAGGCACTTGGGGTGAGTGAGGCTTCTGTGGGGCCTGTGAGACGTTGGGATTCTTAGCAACCTTCCTTTGGAGGGACCCGTAGTGTGGGTCATCCCATTTTACAGAGGGCAGACTGAGGCACTGGGATGATTCATCACTTAACCGGGTTTAGGGATTTCACAGGCGTTCGTGTGTTCTCTGCCTCTTTTAAGGCACTGACAGCCCTGGGAAAGCTGCTGGCAGAGTGGGCTGGGGGGAGAGCAGAAGCCACATGGAGGGCAGGCACTCAGCCCTGGGACTGCCCGCCCACTCCCTGTCCCCCTCACCCTGCTGTGCTCCTGTTCCACCACCTGACCCCGTTCTCCAGGGCCTCATGACCCCCTGATGGAGAGCGAACATCTCAGTCCTCTTACTTGCTCCCGCCTCCTCTTTAAAGCCCTCTAGCCCAGTTTCCTCCTCTGTCTGATGCGTTTCAGACTCCTTACAGACCCCTCCTCCTCCCTGATCCTGCCTCGATGTGCTCCTCCGAGTTCCTCAGGGCTCTGTGTTCTGCCCTGAGGCCTCAGGGACACTACCCCCTCTCCCTAGCCTCTTCTCTTGCCTCTCCCTCCCTCCCTGATGCCCAGAGAGAACTTTGCGTAAGTTCCAGAATGTCCTCTGCCCCTTTCCCTTGTCTGCCTTTGCCCAAGCTGGGCCCTCTGCCCATGGCTGCCTTCCCTTTTCTCATTGTTGCTTCTTAAGCTGTAACTTTAGTTTGGTCCCTGAGCTAAGCATCTTATGTGACAAACCGTCTGAGGTTTTATGATAATAAACCCTAGTATTCCTGTCCTTCAAATGAGGAGATGGAAGATCAGAGTGGGTAAATAACTTGTCCAAGGTCACACAGCTAACGAGTAGCAGAGCCAGGATTCAGACTTCAAAGCTGGTGCTCTTCAGCTCTGTTTCCTGTTGCCCCTGGAGACTGCCTGGTACTGTTAATGGACTTGAACATCTCTCCCGCCAGCTGGCACACAGTGGGTGCTCAGGAAGCCTCCAGCGAGTGAATGAATGAATGCATCAAAGGATACCTATATTTGTCTTGGCTCTACAGTTAGATTCTTATCTCCCTGGAGGCAAAGACTGAGTCCTAGAAGTCCCACAGCAGCTTGAAAAAGTGGAGAAAAAACAGGACTCCATCCCACTTCAGGCCTTAACTGGCTGTGTGTTCCTGGGCGAGTCACCTCCCCTTTCTCGGCTCACCTTCCTCCTCTAACTCAGCTCCTTCACAGAATCTGGATGAGAAATGGACGTGGCTGTTTGTGTTAGTGTCCTAGGGCTGATGGAACAGATCATACCCCCCCCCAACACACACACACACTTGGTAGCTTGAAACAGAAATTTTTCTCATAGTTCTGGAGGCCAGAAGTCCAGAATGGTTTTACTGGGCCAAAACCAAGTTCAGCTGCCCTCACTCCCTCTGGGGGCTCTCTGGGATTTGCCTCTTCCAGCTTCTGGTGGCGGCTGGCCTTCCTGCGTCACTCCAGGCTCTACATCCGTTGTCACGTTGCCTTCTCCTCTTATGTCTCAAATCTCCCTCCCCTTCCTTCTTATAAGGACACTTGCAAGTGCATTTAGGGTCCACCTGAAAAATGGAGGATAATCTCCCTGTCTCACAATCACTGATGTAATCACGTTTACAAAGTCTGTTTCGCCGTACAAGGTACCAGAGATTAGGACATAGATGTCTTGAGGGGGCATTAATCAACCCACTACAGAGTGGTAGGAGGTCCCGGTGCTGGGGTTCTGCACAGACCTCAGCTGTTAATACACTCTCCATGGTTAGGCTAAGCCCCACGGTGAGGGTGGTGAGGGTGGGGCTGGAGCTCGAAGCTATAGGACGCAGGATTCTAGCTCTGCCAGAGGGAGAATTTCCAAAACTCAGAGCTGGCCCAGATGGAAGGGGCAGCATGGGGGTAATGAGCTTCCCACCCCTGGGGTCATGTAAGTAGGAGTTGGAGAGCTGCTTGCCAGGGCCGTTGTACAGAGGAGTACAGCATAGAACTTGAAGGCCTTTAAGGGCCCTCTTGGCTCTGAGAGTCTGATTCTGGGAAGGCCTTGTCGGGGTCGGGGCACTTCATGGTTAATGTGTCCTCTGGCCACACTTCCTGCTCAGGGGCTGCCCCCACCCCCGCCCGCCTCGCCTCCTCTACATCGCCTCTCTGAATAATCAATCCTGTCTTACAAAGGTCTTAAGAACCTGCCAAGGCCGGCTCACACCAGGACTCAGAGACAGATAGCATTCATCTGGGAATAGGGGTCACTTGACTGGTCTGAGCTGGAGCCTGGTACAGCTTGGAAGGCTGGGAAGGTTTGGTGAGCACCTTTAAGCTGCCTAAGGACACACATGCTTCATTTGGTAGGCGGAGGGCCAGGAGACCCTGGCGCTTCCAGTGAAGGGCTGTGTGATCTCCAGCAGTTTCCTGGCCTCTCTGGGCTTTACATGATCTCCTGTAAACCAAGGGGATGGGGCCGGGGAAGAAACCCATGAGTCCTCACCTGTGGGATGGGCGTTTCACAGAAGTTGTTCAGAGGTGAGGTGGATTTTTTGTGACACTCCGTTTGTCAGTAACCACAGTCTTGCATCCGTCTGTTCTTACATCTTGGTGGGAGCCATGGAGGTAACAGCAGGCACCTGGCACTTTGGAAATGTTTGGATCAAGGAGGAGATGCTGGCCAGGTGCAGAATGATGGTGAGGGTAGCAGTGCTCCAGGCCGAGGGAAGAGTGTGGGCCAAGGCAGGGAAGCTGGAAGGTGTAGGGTAAAGTTTAGAGAATTCCTGGTCATTCGTGCAGAGTGAGGGAGGGGGAAAAGACAGGAGGTTACACAGGTCAGCAGGGGCCAGTCCTGCTGTGCTGGCTGGGAACTTGCCCTGAGGACAACAGGGAGGCTCTGAGGGGCTGGAAAGGTCCTAGTTACATTTGTGTTTTAAAGAGTTCATACTAGTCTCAGCATCCTTTTGAGCTCCTTTAAAAGGAGGCTTTGGAGAGTAGGATGGACCAGGAGGCTGAAGATTTGTGTTGAAATCCTGGCTCTGCAGCTCACTAGCTGGGTAACCTTGGCCTCAACCTTTCTTAGCCTAACCTTCCTCAGCTGTCCACCTGGCAATTCCGGGAAGGATCAGTAAGCTCATTTGCTTAAAAAATATAGATGTATCTCTCTTGTGTTCTAGGCGCTATGCTCCCAGCCTGAAGTCGAGAAAGTAAACCAAACCTGGTTTCTGTTCTCTAGGAATTCACAGCCTAGTGAATGACCTTGATGATAGAGACACAAAAGGTGCTATGGGATCTGAGAAGAGTGAAGGAATCAACAAAGGGACAGGGGAGGGCATCCCCAAAGAGGGGACATTTGTGATGGGTCTTGAAGGATGAGTAGGAGTTTGGTAGGTGGAAAAATTAGTGAAAGGTGTTTCAGAGGGAGGAATAAAAGTACAAAGTGGGGATAGCAACTAGTCTGGGGGCCAAGGAGGATGGAACTGGGGTTTTGGGTTGAGGCCATACAGGGTCAGATCATGAAGGTCCATGTACACCACAATGAGTTGGAGCCAAATCTGGAAGGTGTTTAAAAGCTGGTGGAGAATTTTAGGCAGGGGCATAGTCAGATCCGTGTTCTAGACAGCATCCTCTGGGAACCTATCTGGAGGTTGTCTTGGAGGGGCAGGTGCCCACAGAAGGGAGGTGCAAGAGAGGCCAAGTGGAGTCGAAGTAGGTCCAGGAGTAGGTGGGAAAGTAGGGAAGTTAGGAGGGGGCTACTTGAGAGGTGTTCAAAGATGGAGAGTGGGAGGATGGGCCTCAAGGAGGGAGGGTGTGTACAATGCCCAGATGAGGGCCGGTGCATTACAGAAGCTCAACAAGTAAATGTTCATTTGCTTCCACTCCCATTAGTATTGGAGGCTACAAGGCAAGGAGGTTGGAGCCAGAGTGGGACTGTAGAATTAAGTGTTCTGAGTGGGGCAGTTTCAGGTGGTGAGACAGTGGAGGAGGTCACCGGAGATGAGGCAGGCTGGGAGCTGGGGTACTGGGTGCTGGGAAGATCACCCACGTGGCCAGTGGCATCTGCAGGACGAGGCAGGAAAGGGGATGGGATGAGTAGGGGACTACATGGGTCCCTGAGCCGTGTCCCAAGGAGCCACTAGCATTGCTCAGGAGGGAGGGGAAGGGACCCATAGCCACATCCCTGTGGTACCAGATCATGCACTGGGGGCAGGTGGCTAGACCCCTATCCTAGCCCCACTGGCTGACTAACCCCTCTCTGCTTTTTTCCATCAGCCTGATTTTGGGGGCACTGACTGTTGTGACTGGCATTATTGGGGTCATCCTGGGAGCAGAGGCTTCAAGGAGATACAAGAAAGTCAACCCGAGGGCTGAGCCCCTCATCTGTGCCGTCAGCTTGTTTGCCGCAGCCGTCTCCTTCTACTTGGCTTTCGTCCTGGCCCCGGCCACCCTCCAGGCCTCTTATGTAAGTGAGGGCTCCTTCGGAGGTGGGAGTTGGGTGGGGTGGGTAGGGAAATCGCGTTCCACACAGGCTTATGCTGTGCCCGGTGTTTATGTATGTTATGCACATTACATCATTGATCACTCCTTCCGAGTGGAGCTTTGTTATCCCCATTTTACAGATGAGTAAACTGAGGCTCACCTAGAGTTCCACAGTTAGGAAGGCGCAGGACTGGTATTTGAGCCTAAGCCTTTCTGACTCTAAAGCGTATCCTCTGAGCTCCTGGTTAATGCTGTGACTAGAGAGATTACGACCCCTTTATTCCCAGGATGTGAGTCCAAGAAAAACTAGGTTAATTCTCCCCAGGTTACAGATGAGGAAAGTGAGGCCCAGATTGGCCATAGCCAGCCTAGACACTGCTTTAAAGGTGACAATAGTGATGATATCCCATCTTCCAGATCCATATCCCATCACATACCTTCATGCCCCTCACTATCCGGCTGTGCTGGTGACAGGTGCTCACACCTCCCTTGCGTGTGAACATTCCCTCCGCCAGGGGCACCATTCCCCTCTTCTGTGCATCCTGAAATCTTTCTCCTGCTGCAAGATCCAACTCAAAGGCCACCTCCTCCAAAAGCCCTCCGAGACTACTATGCTCACGTCAGAATCTGCTTTTCCCGCTGGGCTCCGTGCATGTTGGTGTCCCACCAGGCACCCTGGTGTATCCAAATGTGTGCAGCAGTGTCCTTGGCTCCCCAAAGCCTTGGTTCTGACTGTCCCACAATGAGAAGGAGTCATTGACTCTGGGAAGCAGGTGCCCACCTAGCCCCAGGCAGACCAGTCAAACTCCCCTCCTTTACCCTCCCACTCCCTGGTCCCAAGGCCCTGGGGACACAGAAGCCTCGGCACATGTGGGCAGGGCTCACTGAGCAGGCTGGACTCCGAAAGCAAAGCAGTAACAGCTTTATTGTTCTCCTGTCAGTTCGGGTGTGTCTCCTGCCTATGACCAGACCCCACAGCTTTTCTAGTTACATTCATGAAGTCCCATTTAAATCAAAACTTTGGTTCTATTTCCAGATAAATATTCTATCCAGGCCCAGAAATTGCACGGGGAAGAGGGAGAGCTCCACTTGATTGGATTCTCTTGTTCCATCTCTGACCCCAGTCGCTGACACCACCCCTCCCCTGAGATCCTGGCCCCTCCAGGGTTGGGTGGGCCAGGAAGGATGACTGGAAACAGGCCACGTGTTATCCGTGTCTGGAGTTGTTTTGCGGCTGACGCCCAGATGCTGGCCGACTTGTCTCTTGGGGGCACTTCTGTGGGTTTTGCGGGCCCCTGGCCTTGATGCAGGTGACGTGGTTAACCTGTGTCCTGTCACAGCTTCCCTCTACTCCTCCTTGGGGGTTGCCCTTCCAGCTCTTCCTGCTGGACCCTGTCGCCCTGGGCAGCCACCCTGTGGGGCTCCCCTCTTGTGGCCACCAAGCCTGTCTCCTCTCTGTGGTGCCTGTTTAACCCACTGGACGAGCTTAGGGTGCAGCAGCCCCCTCCCCGCCCTCGTGCACCTTCCTGCTCCCAGGTGATGTGCATTGGGGTGTCCTGAGGATGGACTTTGTGAATGCCCCTCAGGTGGCCCTGGTGCAGGAAGGTTAGCTTTTGTCAGCGTCTGGCCAGGGAGAAAGGCGAGTGTCCTTCCTGATAGGCACTGCCCCTCCATGGGTGGGCCGCCTGTGGCCCCTCACTCAGTTTTCTCACTCTTCACATAAATCCCCCCAGCCCGCATCTCCAGCCTTCTTCTGTACAAGTTGCGGGGCCACATGAGACAGTTCCATTTCTCTCTAGTCCTGAAGGTGTGGGTCCTGTTCTAAGGTGTGGGTCCTCAGCCTTCGTTGGGCTCCCACTGAAATTCCTGGGAAATAGACAAGTCCCGTTAGTGTTCCCTTCTGCACGTGCTCTTATTTTATCCTTACGGTGCCCTTGTGCCAAAAGGTATTTCTCGTTCCCACTCGACAGATAGGAATACTGAGGCCCAGAGACAGCAGCACAAAGAGTAGGACAGATGAAACTCAGACTCAGCTCCGCAGACTCCAAAGTCTGTGTCCTTCATGCTGCACTGACCCTTGTCACCCCCGTGGAAGAGAAACAGAGCCTGGCAGACACCAGGCACTAAGTACATGCCTTAGTGCCTAATGGCTGAGGGAGTGTGACTGGGACCATCATCTCCAGCTGGTGGGGGCTGGATGGGCCCAACCTTGCAGGGAGGCTGGGGCCCGGGCAGATGGAGGCCCCATTTAAGGCCTGTCCCCACAATGGCTGGGCCCTCGGACCCCCTGCCAGTTCTGCTTCTGCCACTGTCTTGGTTGGCTCCGGGAAGAGGCTCCTTGGCTGTGTTTCGGGGACACAGCTGTCCCCCGCTCTGCAGCCTGGCGCATCTCCAGAGCTGGATGGCTCATCTAGAAATGACATTGCATCTTGGCTGACAAAGCCAGCTGGAGAATCTCTTCTCCAGGCCTGCCCTGGGCAGTGAGGGGCTGAGGGGCAGGAAGGTGGGCAGGGCCAGGGTGCATCCATCCTCCAGTGCTAGGAGGCTGCCCCTCCCTGTGGCTCAAGTTTGGGCCTTGCACGATCCCCAGCGGCGCTGAGCCCTGCGACCAGAACTCCAGCCTTCTAGAAGAGGTGTGATTCCTTCTGAACCCCCTGACCAGATCCCCGCTCCAGGGCTCTGTTGTGCCTCTGAGGTCCTGAGACTCAGGCTTCAGCTCCCCCCGCACTGCCTGACCTTCCCACCCACCCGCACCAGTCGTAAAACCCTTTACACCTCCAAAGTACCACTCTTCTGTGGTCCCCTCTGTCCTGTTCTGGCTCACGCCTTGCCATCTTTCTCCAGAACTGTCCTGGGAGCCACCTTCCGGGTCTCCTTGCCTTCCTGCTCATCCACTACAACCTGTTCTTCCCACACTGCCAGAGTGACACGGCGGAGCTTCCCCATCAAAGGCCTTGGTGCCACTGGAACTAAGCCTGGCTCCTCATCCTGACACTTAAGGCCTCTCATGAACCTCCCTGGCAGCCTTAGTAGCCTCATCCCCCATACAGTACTGCCATGCAGGTCCCTTCCTGATTCCCAGGACATGCCCCATGCTTCCCACATCTGGGCTCTCCCTCTGTTCCCTCTCCTCCCACCCCTTCTCCATATGCCGGGGTCATTCTGTGCCTTCGGGGGCCGGTGAGGGCACCACCTCTCCCTGGAGCCTTCCTAGGTTCCCTGATCCTCTCTCCTCATCCTTGCTGCTCCTCAGCACTGTCTTCCTTGGGTCCTGGTTACTTATGTTCTGACCTGTCCCCCAGCTGGACCCAGGTTGGTTCCCATCTTTCTCAGTGCTCCAGCCCAAAGCAGAGTGTCAGGCACTTGGGGTGGGGTAATCACTGCTTGCTGAGTGAGTAGTTAAGTGACCAGCTATTTTCATTCATTCAACATATATTTATTGAGTAACTGTAAAGCAGCATGCTAGTTTAAATGCTGCAGATTCAGCAGTGGGTAAACCAGACTAAGATATCTCTGTCCTTAGAGAGCTTATGTTCTAGTTGAGGGAGACAGACAACAGGCCAAATATATAGGTAAAGTTCACAATATTTCAGATGATAAGAAATGCTTGGGATAAATAGAGTGGGAGGTAGGGAAAGTGTGGGTGTTGGGGGGAGAGGGCTGCAATTTTCCATAATGTGACCAAGGAGGCTCACTGAGAAGATAGTTGTTGAGTAAAGACCTACAGGAGGTGAAGGAGCGAATTCGGTGAATATTTAGGGGAACAGACTCTGTAAATGCCCTAAGGTAGGAGTGTATCTGGTGGATTTAGGCAACACCAGGAAGGACACTGTGGTTGGTGTGGAGTGAAGCGAGAAAGAGAGACAAGGACAGAGGTGATGGAGATAAGATCAGGTAGGACCTTGTGGACATTAGGTGGAACTGGCTGTTACTAAGAGTGAGACAAGGTTTTGTACTGAGGATTGGGAGATCTGGCTTACGTTTACTGCAACTTTGAGATGATCATGTGGTTTGTCCCTTATTAACAAGGTATGTTACATTGATTGATATTTGTATGTTTAACCAACCTTGCATTCCTGGGATAAACCCTCCCTTGGTCACAATGTATAATCAGATTTATGTGTTGCTGAATTCAGCTTGCTAGTGTTTTGTTGAGGATTTTTGCATCTATGTTCGTAAGTAATATTGGCCTGTAGTTTTCTTGTGATGTCTTTGGTTTCATAGGGCGAGTTGACAAGTGTTTCTTCCTCTTCTATTTTTCAGAAGAGTTTGTGAAGGATTTGTGTTAATTTGTCTTTAGACATTTGTTGGGATTCATGAGTCAAACCATCTGGTTCTGGCTTTTGTTGGTGGGAAGCTTTTTGATTACTGACTCAATATTGTTATTGGTCAACTAAGACTTTTTATGTCTTTTTAAGTCAGTTTCAGTAGTTTGCATTTTTTAAGGAATTTTATTCATAGTATTCCCTTGTAATCTTTTTAATTTCTGTAAGGTCGGTAGTATTGTTCATTTTTGATTTTAGTAATTTGAGTCTTCTCCCATTTTTCTTAGTCAGTTTAACTAAAGATTAGTCAATTTGGGTTTTATTGATTTTTCTCTATTGTTTTCCGATTATCAGCTTATGTTTAATAGAATCACTCTGACTTCTCTGTTGAGAATATTTACTATGAGGGTGGTTAGGGGTGCAAGAGCAGAAGCAGTGGAGGTGGTAAGAAGTGGTTGAATTATAGGTGTATTTTGAAGGTAAAGCTATCGGAGTTTCCTGATGGATTCAATGTGGGGTGTGAGAGAAAGTCGAAGGTGAATTCTAGGATATTAGCCTGTGTAGCTGGATGGAGGGAGACGCCATTAACTGAGATAGGAAAGTAGACAGGAACAGTGGGATTTGGGGGAAGATGAACACTTGGGTTTGTACATTCTGAGTTTGTGGTGAGAGGTTGACAACCAAGTACAAGTGTTAGTAGAGAGTTGGATACAGGAGT